AAAATACATATGAGGGAACTACACTTCGACACTTAGTGGGGACTCAGCCAATGAGAGACACAGTTATTACTCTTACTCGCACCCTCTGCAGTACCCCACCCCCCCACTGTCACTGACCGGGAAAAGAGCCCTGGACTGAGAGTTGGGGAAGGGAAGCGGGTGTGGGCAGGGCTTGCTCTGTTTGCATGGCTTAGCTTCCTATGAGTTGGATTTGCAAGCTTCTGTTTTGCATGGTGGCAGACTTTTGCATGCTTTCTGTTTATTACTGTTGTAGCAGAGGGTTAACGATCACCTTTACCATTTTAGATCTTTTTTTTTTTTTTTCTTTTTAGTAATTTGTGCTAAAGAATGTGTAAGTGGATAGACAGAGAGACAGAAAAATGAGAAATCACCCAGCGGGGATGGCCATTCCACAATTCTTTCTCCTCCATTCTCCTCTTGAGATCTTGGGCACACACACTCACATGGCTGGTGTGAATTTCAAACCGCTGGGTCCAGGACTGGAACTGTGGATGACCATCTGGGAGTCCAGTACTTTAATCACTATGTCGCCTGCTGGTCTCCCCCCACCCCCGCCACTTTAGATCTTATCTGGACTCTTCAAGCTGAATCTAGAAACCAAATTAACACAAGGCAGATTGACAGAGGAAGGCATAGGGATGTCATTAGTTTTACATGTACGTGAGAATCTTCATGAGAGTGTGAAATCTGAAGAAGTGGCCAAAGTAAGGAGCTTTTATACTTTTTAGACAAAGAATGATAAGTTTGTGAAGACATGACAGGACAAAAGGATCTCTTGGGTGGTAAATTCTAGGGAAGTAAACTAAGAGATATATGGGTGAATATAAAACTAGTGAAAGATAAGGATTATTTGGGGGCATTATTTATTCAAGTTTATTGCAGCCCTAGTTACAAGCCTGTGGTGATAAAAGCTGTTTTCTCACCCTGGGATGGAAAGACATCCCTCCCAAAGGAAACTTTATGGCCTGTTGAATACAGGAAGAGCCCAGTTAAATGTCTTGTTTTGTAGCTGCAATTCCAAAGGCGATTTCATCTTGAAATAATCACTATACCCACAGGCATATTTTCGGATCACTCGTCCTTAACTCCATCACTAACCCGTGGGCTCCTCGGTATAGTTCTGATAGTCACCTCTTTCTAGGACCTTCAACTCTTCCCAGCCAGCACTCTCTCTGACCTGCTCCCCTGCTGTGGGCTGATCAGACACTGCAGAGAACATGGAGATGCATGAGAAACTGCTCTGTCCTGCCAGGAGACTTTCACATAGGGGGTCACAGGATTTAAACTCTCACAAGGCACCGTATGGAAACTGGTGGGAATCCAAGCTCCCTGGGGGTGGTCCTGAAGATGGTAAGGGGATGGGCGAAGGTACAAAGAGAAAGGCTTTAGGAAAGGCAGAGGGACAGGCAGGAAGTGGTGAGGAGAGCCACACTAACATGGACTGAAAGATTGTGAGGCACTGTCTCCTTACCTGATGTTCCTATGCTCCTCAGAGGTAGTCGTATTGGGTTGTCAGCAAAGTCATGCTGTATTTTTCTTTTTTTTGGAGAGTTTTTTCTTTTACTTTTTCTTTTTTTTTTTTTTTTTTTTTTTTGCTGTAGGGCATGTGCACTTGCCAGACAGAGAGAGACAGAGAGATAGAAAGCGAGAAATTATCCCCCAGGGGGGATGGCCATGCCGCAATCCCTTCTCCATTCTCCTCTCGGGATCTTGGGCATGCACGCACACGTGCCTGGCGTGAGTTTAAGCCACCGGGTCCGGGACTCGAACCGTGGTCAACTACGTAGGAGTCCAGTGACATAGCCATTATGCTAACTGCTGGTCCCCGTGATATATTTTTCTATGCAAAAATGCGCCACGACTTTGGTATCTGCCAAATGGTATCTGCATTTTCAGTTGATGGAAAGGCATATCAGAGAGGTTAAGTAAATTGTCCCACTTGACATAGTTAGGAATAGATTCAAATTTCTATCTTTAAAAAAATTTTTTGCCAGAGGGCATGTGTGCTTTCAGGAGACAGAGCAAGAGAAAGTGAGAAAGCATGGCCAGGCTGCAATCCCTTCTTTCCTGTTTCTCTTTCCTATTGGGGTTTTGGGCACACACACGCATTTTTTTTTTTTTTTTAATAGAGAGGTTTTTGCTATAGGGTGCGTGTGCTTGTCAGAGAGACAGAGAGACAGAAATCGAGAAATCACCTCCCAGGGAGGATGGCCACACCGCAATCCCTTCTCCTCCATTCTCTTCTTGGGATCTTGGGCATGCATGCACATATGCCCATGAGTTTGAAGCCACCAGGTCCTGGACTTGAACTGCAGTCAACTATGTGGGAAGCCAGTAATGCAATAATTATGCCATCTGCTGGTCCCTGGTGTGTTTTTTAAGCTACTGGGTCTAGGACTGGAACCGCCTAGTTGGCCACGTGAGATCTCGCCACCTTAACCACCAAGCCATCAGCTATCTCAAAATTCTTTTTTTTAAATTAGGTTTTTGCCATAGGCACATGCATTCACTGGAGAGAGACAGAGAAAGAGAAAGTGAGAAATCACCCTTGGGGGGATAACCATGCTGCAATTCCTTCTTCTCCATTCTCCTCTAGGGATCTTGGGCACTCAAACACACATGCCCAGCATGATTTTTAAAAATAATTAATTAATTAATTATATTTGTTATTATTATTATTTTTTAATTTGGCGAAAGGAGAAGAGAGAGAGAAAGTGAGAGAGCAAGCTGCCATGTCTGAGACTTGAACTGTGGTTGGCCATGTGAGAGTCCAGAACCTTAACCACCATACCACCTGCTGGGCCCCCAGCATGACTTTTTTTTTTTTTAAGAATTATTTTATTTAACTTTATTTTAATTTTATCAGAAAGGGACAGAACAAGAGAGAGAGAGAGAGAGAGAGAAAGCCACTAGGTCCAGGACTCGAACTGTGGTTGGTCATGTGAGAGTCCAGCACCTTAACCACCACGCCATCTGCTGACCCCATTCTTTGATCACATTCACTGTCCTTGGGTTTTGGTCATACATGGCTGTGGGGCAGTAGAACAGGCTTGGGGCAGCCCACCAGTGAGAAGTCTGACATGGTTTGATTTTGCTTCTCTCCCTCACAGCTGTGTGGACTTGGGTACTTTTCCATTTCTACCTGGTAGATTTTTATGAGTTTAATGAGATGAAGTGTGTGGTGCACATAGTAGGTCCTCAAGACACATTTCTAAGGTTCTGACAACCCATCTGATACTCAAGTTCCCCCTTGACCTTCTGCTCGAACCCTCCTCATGAAGGGGAAGCCGCAACACCCTAGTTGATGGAGATCCTCTTTTTGCAATACCCTAGTCTATGGGAAGTCCTTGTCTACAGCGAGCAGGAGTCTCTCCAGGGAGGTTCTTCCTTCCCACTGGTTCTATTGTATTCTTTGCGCCACTTAGAAGAATGTCCCTTCTTTGTCCTGGCGGCCCTCAGCTTCTGTACTGTTGGGAACCTCTTCTCCAGGGCTCGTACTGCCAGCTCCCGCAGCTGGGTCTCGGCAGAATATGGCTCCTATTCTCTTTAGCCCAGAAATCCTTTTGCATCAGTTTCCATTTGTCCAGGTCAGTCCTAAGAGTCAGACAAGATCCAAACACTGTTCCCCGGGTGAGGCCTGATGAGCAGAGGAAGAAGTGGGCTTGTCCACTCCTGCTTCTGCTGCCATGGACTGCGGCAGGGTT